TGGCCCCCTCTGTAATTAGTATTTTATTACATGTAAACTGCACAATAACCAAAATCTGTAAACCCCACATTGTAATCCTTATAGAGAATGAACTTGATTGATTGCACATGTTAGAGAGAAGGATGGCCACTGCTTTGTCCAGATGGTATTTTTCAGCAAACTCCTGCACTTCATGCCATTTAGCACATATTTCCTTGACAAGTGCAATGGCACTTCATCCCTTCCACCCTCTTCCTCTGATGACAGCTTCTCTGCTGCAATCTGTTTCTGCTCCTCCTGAAGGTCTAGAATTCTTCTGTGGTGAGTTAAGTTTTGTGCTCCTCCACCAACTCCTCCACATCATCTCCAGTCACCTCTTAAGTTCAAGGTTTTCCCCAGGGACACAATATCTTCTACCAGCTCAGGCTCATCTTTAAAGCCATCAAAATCCCTGGCTGCCACAGCTTCTTCCATGCTGACTGCATGGTCCTGGAAGACACATTTCCTCAGCCTCAAGCAAGTGAGGATATTGAAATGGCACTTCCAGAACTCCCTGAGGATCAATTTTGTTTCTGAAGTGACTTCAAAGCACCTTTCAAAAAGTGCTTTGGTGAAGAGTTTCTTGAAGCAAGAAATGACCTGCTGGTCCATGGGCTGGATGAAAGTAGTAGTGTTAGGAAGCAAGAACTTCACAGTTATAAAACTGAGCTCCTCTACCAACTGGTTTTCCAAGCTTGGAGGGCGAGCAGGAGCATTATCCATAAGTAAAAGGGGTGAGTGCAATTGGTTTTTAATGAGGTACTTTTTGACCTGAGCCACTTTGTCCCATTCCATACACATGAAAACTTGTCCACTGACCACCAAGAGAATGCACAAAAACCAGGACATTTTTCCCTCAAAAACCCCATTCGAAAACCGATTTATCTGACAAGTAATGCAATCAACAACCGAGGCTCAACTGTAGAAGAAAACCCAGATGGGTGTGTATATATATGCCTGTACATGTATGCATAGTGTGACCTAAGTAGAAGTAGCAAGATATAGTACCTTGAAACAGTAAATATTGATTATAATTGCAAAGTTTATATGTTTGTAAGTGGTAATGTTGCATGAAGAAGTTTTTCTTAATGCTATTACAGTACAGTGGTCCCTTGAGTTATGTTGTTTACCCATGGGGAAAGTGAAAAGAATCATAAGAAAGCACCCAGGCAATAAAATAGCTGAACTTACAGCCTGTATTTTCAAAGAAAATGTTTTGTCTTTTAAAAACCTAAGAGAGTAACAGACGCAAGCATCTCTGGAGTCGTCTTTTTTCTTTTTCAAAAGACAGCAGTTGTAAGAGACTTCTTCCAACCAGTAACCTCTGCCCCCCTCCCCCCCACTACCAACCAAGCTACAGAACACCACCTTGATTAATAACCTTCTGGGTTATCCTCAATTACTAACCTTCTGGGTTAGTAATCTTGGAGGTTACCCTTGGTTACTAACCTTCTGGGTTAGTAATCTTGGGTTATCCTCAATTACTAACCCTATGGGTTAATAGTCCTGTGATACCCTAAACTATTAATCAGGGCATTACTGACGGGGGAGCGCTAAACCATAGAGATCATACAGCACCTGGGGGGAATGGAAGGTGCCAAGGCTGGATCCAAGGAAATGGAGCACAGGTCAGTGCTAAACCATAGAAGTCATACAGCACCTGGGGGGAATGGAAGGTGCTGAGGCTGGATCCAAGGAAATGGAGCACAGGTCCAACTCCTGGGATCAAGAGCACCTCACCAGCCTAAAGGAACCTTCCTTGAGGGGGAAATAATGATTAATAAAATGTTCTACTGTCAGAACAAGCAGCCACCACCACCTCCAACACTGTCTCCTCCACCAGTGGTGGAGACACACTCCACCACCACCTCCAACACTCTCCTCCACCAGTGGTGGAGACACCCTCCACCACCATCTCCAACACTGTCTCCTTCACCACTCGATCAGTGAGACACTTGTGTAACATTTGGGTATCTTTATTCTGGAAACATTTTTGTCTCACAGTGGTTTCTTCAGTCCAATGCATTGGTAGTGCACTCAGCTCACACACAGAGGTCTGGGGATCAATCCCCGGTATGGCTGGAAACATTAGCATGTGCTTCCATAAGATACCTGCTGTCTATGTTCATCCATCAGTATGAGTGTTAGTGGACTGGTGTGGGTCGCATCCTGGGATAATACCGACCTAATTTGCGAGAAATGTTCAGCATAACAAGCGGCTTTCTATATAGTAGTATGTCATTGTTGTCAGCTATGGTCTGTATACCTTGTACATGTACTGGTAGAAGATTATTTAATTATTTATTAGGAATTTGAGGTAATCAGTCCCTCAGTCTGGAGTCGGTGTTGAGTCAGTCAAGAGTGACTGAACACATCAACTCCAGGCTGAGCAACTGATTACCTCAAACTCCTCCTCATCTTCCACCTTTCTCTTCACTGGACTGAAGAACTTAGTGTGGGGCAAAACGTTTCCAGAATAAAGATAGCCAAATATTGCATAAGTGTCTCGGTGATCAAGTTATGGAGTTTATAAAGCATTTATTGAGGTGATGCACGAGTGTTATCCCTCACTCACCTACACTGTGATGATGGAGGATGAACCTGAGTGTGATGGAAGTGTTGTAGTAATGTTAATTATGATGGAGGATGAACCTGAGTGTGATGGAAGTGTTGTAGTAATGTTAATTATGATGGAGGATGAACCTGAGTGTGATGGAAGTGTTGTAGTAATGTTAATTAAGATGAAGGATGAACCTGGGTGTGATGGAAGTGTTGTAGTAATGTTAATTATGATGGAGGAACAACCTGGTGTGATGGAAGTGTTGTAGTAGTGTTAATTATGATGGAGGAACAACCTGGGTGTGATGGAAGTGTTGTAGTAATGTTAATTATGATGGAGGATGAACCTGAGTGTGATGGAAGTGTTGTAGTAGTGTTAATTATGATGGAGGAACAACCTGGTGTGATGGAAGTGTTGTAGTAATGTTAATTATGATGGAGGAACAACCTGGGTGTGATGGAAGTGTTGTAGTAATGTTAATTATATGATGGAGGAACAACCTGGTGTGATGGAAGTGTTGTAGTAATGTTAATTATGATGGAGGAACAACCTGTGTGATGGAAGTGTTGTAGTAATGTTAATTATGATGGAGGATGAACCTGAGTGTGATGGAAGTGTTGTAGTAATGTTAATTATGATGGAGGAACAACCTGGTGTGATGGAAGTGTTGTAGTAATGTTAATTATGATGGAGGATGAACCTGAGTGTGATGGAAGTGTTGTAGTAATGTTAATTATGATGGAGGAACAACCTGGTGTGATGGAAGTGTTGTAGTAATGTTAATTATGATGGAGGATGAACCTGAGTGTGATGGAAGTGTTGTAGTAATGTTAATTATGATGGAGGATGAACCTGGGTGTGATGGAAGTGTTGTAGTAATGTTAATTATGATGGAGGATGAACCTGAGTGTGATGGAAGTGTTGTAGTAATGTTAATTATGATGGAGGATGAACCTGGGTGTGATGGAAGTGTTGTAGTAATGTTAATTATGATGGAGGATGAACCTGGGTGTGATGGAAGTGTTGTAGTAATGTTAATTATGATGGAGGATGAACCTGAGTGTGATGGAAGTGTTGTAGTAATGTTAATTATGATGGAGGAACAACCTGGTGTGATGGAAGTGTTGTAGTAATGTTAATTATGATGGAGGATGAACCTGAGTGTGATGGAAGTGTTGTAGTAATGTTAATTATGATGGAGGATGAACCTGGGTGTGATGGAAGTGTTGTAGTAATGTTAATTATGATGGAGGATGAACCTGAGTGTGATGGAAGTGTTGTAGTAATGTTAATTATGATGGAGGAACAACCTGGTGTGATGGAAGTGTTGTAGTAATGTTAATTATGATGGAGGATGAACCTGAGTGTGATGGAAGTGTTGTAGTAATGTTAATTATGATGAAGGATGAACCTGGGTGTGATGGAAGTGTTGTAGTAATGTTAATTATGATGGAGGATGAACCTGGGTGTGATGGAAGTGTTGTAGTAATGTTAATTATGATGGAGGATGAACCTGAGTGTGATGGAAGTGTTGTAGTAATGTTAATTATGATGGAGGATGAACCTGGGTGTGATGGAAGTGTTGTAGTAATGTTAATTATGATGGAGGAACAACCTGGTGTGATGGAAGTGTTGTAGTAATGTTAATTAAGATGAAGGATGAACCTGGGTGTGATGGAAGTGTTGTAGTAATGTTAATTATGATGGAGGAACAACCTGGTGTGATGGAAGTGTTGTAGTAATGTTAATTATGATGGAGGATGAACCTGGGTGTGATGGAAGTGTTGTAGTAATGTTAATTATGATGGAGGATGAACCTGGGTGTGATGGAAGTGTTGTAGTAATGTTAATTATGATGGAGGATGAACCTGGGTGTGATGGAAGTGTTGTAGTAATGTTAATTATGATGGAGGATGAACCTGAGTGTGATGGAAGTGTTGTAGTAATGTTAATTATGATGGAGGAACAACCTGGTGTGATGGAAGTGTTGTAGTAATGTTAATTATGATGGAGGATGAACCTGGGTGTGATGGAAGTGTTGTAGTAATGTTAATTATGATGAAGGATGAACCTGGGTGTGATTGAAGTGTTGTAGTAATGTTAATTATGATGGAGGAACAACCTGGTGTGATGGAAGTGTTGTAGTAATGTTAATTATGATGGAGGATGAACCTGGGTGTGATGGAAGTGTTGTAGTAGTGTTAATTATGATGAAGGATGAACCTGGGTGTGATTGAAGTGTTGTAGTAGTGTTAATTATGATGGAGTGAAGATAGCGTCAGTGACTCTAGATACCAAGATGGCAGCTCCACCCTGCTCCCTCCCTGTCTCCCTCACCACACTCACTACACCGCCACTCACCTCTCACTACACTCTACACACACTCAGGTTACACCCAGTAATGTTCCTGCTAGGTACTCACCTTCCCTGTGGTAAATAAGACACTGATATACACTAGTGTAGTCACCCGTCCACCGCACCTCCTTGTTGCTGTTATTAAGGGCTACTCTACCAAGAGTAGTAAATATTCAAGTACAATTTTACACATTTTTTGATGATTACGATTGTTTTACATGGTAATATATGTTAAAATTACCTTGGATAACCCGAAAAGTTAAAGAAAGTGACTAATTTACATATTAGCACACGGCAGAGACAAATAACTGGCACATAGGCAACACCTTATGATGCACAGTGCTGAGCCTCCCACACTGTCCCAGGGACTAAATATGTAGAAAGTCTGGAGAAAAATAGAATGTTGAATAAAGATTCCCACGGAGAAGAGACAGAGCTTCCTCTGAACATTGTGAACAGCTACAAACACACTCAACGTGAGTCAGTGACCGGCTCATAAGCTTCACCGGCAGCCGTACAAAATCTTCAGCTCAAGAAAAAATGAACAATGTTGAGCGTCACGACGACAGCGTTATTACCCTGAACACCTCAACCAGGCTCTGATGCTGATATACATATATATGTTACGCAAAACAACCACAAGGCGAGTTGAATGATAACTCTAGGCCTTTCGTGTTGCAATCAACTCATCATCAGAAACTTGCAATGTTGTACAGAGTAAGAGATCTCGGCATACACAAAAAGCCTGGAGCTATCATCCCCATGTGCTTGTTGTGCATAAAAGATAAGATTTCGTTCGGATTTTTAACCCTGCAGGGTTAGCCACCCAGGATAACCCAAGAATGGCAGTGCATCATCGAGGACTATCTGTCGTATTGCCATTTGGGTCCTCAATTTTGTCCCCGAGGATGCGACCCACACTGGGCGCCTAACACCCAGGTACTTGCTGCTAGGCTTTGTTCAAGGATCAAGGATTAAGGATTTTTTCTTTGCATACCTGGAGTTTACCTGGAGAGGGTTTCGGGGATCAACGCTCCCGTGGCCCGGTCTGTGACCAGGCTTCATGGTGGATCAAGGTCTGATCAACCAGGCTGTTACTGTTGGTCGCACGTAAACCGACGTACGAACTACAGCCCGGCTGGACTGGTACTGGAGTTTACCTGGAGTTTACCTAGAGAGGGTTTCGGGGGTCAACGCCCCCGTGACCCGGTCTGAGACCAGGCCTCATGGTGGATCAAGGTCTGATCAACCAGGCTGTTACTGATGGCCGCACGGAAGCTGACGTACGAACCACAGCCCGGTTGGTCAGGTACTGACTTTAGGTGCCTGCCCAGTGTCTTCTTGAAGATAGTCAGGGGTTTATTGGTAAACCCCCTTATGTATGCTGGGAGGCAGTTGAACAGTCTTGGGCCCCTGACACTTATTGTGTTGTCTCTCAGTGTACTCATGGCGCCCCTGCTTTTCATCGGGGGAATGTTGTATCTCCTGCCGAATCTTTTGCTTTTATATGGAGTGATTTTCGTGTGCAAGTTTGGTACCAATCCATCCAGGACCTTCCAAGTGTATATTATCATATATCTCTATCGCCTGCGATCGAGGGAATACAGATCAAGGACCTTCAACCGTTCCCAGTAGTTTAGGTGCCTTATCGTACTTATGTATGCTGTGAAAGTTCTTTGTACACTCTCCAGGTCTGCAATGCCGCCAGCCTTGAAGGAGGCCGTTAGTGTACAACAGTATTCCAGCCTAGAGAGCACAAGCGATTTGAAGAGAATCATCATGGGCTTGGCGTCCCTAGTTTTGAAGATTCTCATTATCCATCCTATCATTTTCCTAGCAGATGAGGTAGATGCATTGTTGTCGTCTTTGAACTCGAGATTCTCTGACATTATCACTCCCAGGTCCTTCACATTACTTTTCTGATCTATTGTATGGTTAGAATTTGTGGTATACCCTGACACATTTTTAATTTCTTCAAGTTTTCCATATCTGAGTAGTTGAAATTTCTCCTCGTTGAACTTCATATTGTGTTGAGTGGCTCATTCGAAGATTTGGTTGATGTCCGCTTGGAATCTTGCAGTGTCTTCGATGGAGGTCACTGTCATGGTGATCCGGGTGTCATCCGCAAAGGAAGACACGGAGCTATGGCTTACATCTCTGTCTATGTCAGAAATGAGGATGAGGAATAGAATGGGAGTGAGTACTGTGTTAGGTGCCTGTCCAGTGCCTTCTGGAAGACAGACAAGGGTCTATTGGTAATCCCCCTTGTGTATGCTGGGAGGCAGTTGAACAGTCTTGGGCCCTGACATTTATTGTGTTGTCTCTTATCGTGCTAGCGGCGCCCCTGCTTTTCATTGGGGAATGTTGTATCTCCTGCCGAGTCTTTTGCTGTCACTGGGAGTGATTTCCGTATGCAAGTTTGGTACTAATCCCTCTAGGATTTTCCAAGTGTATATATTTATGTATCACAAGTATCTTTGGCAGGTTAAATCACCACCACCAGATGTAGACCAAACGAAATGTAAACTTTGCCAGATGGACTAGTGTCACACCTTGCGTCATGATGTACTGGAGTGCGTTGCACCCTGTGTCCTTATGGCCCGGTGGCCTGGTGGCTAAAGCTCCCGCTTCACACACGGAGGGCCCGGGTTCGATTCCCGGCGGGTGGAAACATTTCGACACGTTTCCTTACACCTGTTGTCCTGTTCACCTAGCAGCAAATAGGTACCTGGGTGTTAGTCGACTGGTGTGGGTCGCATCCTGGGGGACAAGATTAAGGACCCCAATGGAAATAAGTTAGACAGTCCTCGATGACGCACTGACTTTCTTGGGTTATCCTGGGTGGCTAACCCTCCGGGGTTAAAAATCCGAACGAAATCTTATCTTAAATCTTATCTTACTGGAGTGCGTCACACCCTGCGTCATTATGTACTGGAGTGCGTCACACCCTGAGTCATTATGTACTGGAGTGCGATAAAATTAATGAATTCAAAGACGACTCACTCAGAAATGTTCAAGACATGGCAACGTAATTTATCCACAGTAGTATATTACAAATCATTCTGGAGAAATACCCTGACTTTTGTTCACTGTAAATAAAGCATTAGCACATGTGTGTGTGTGTGTGGGGTGTGTGTGTGTGTGTGTGTGTGTGTGTTGTGTGTGTGTGTGTGTGTGTGTGTGTGTGTGTGTGTGTGTGTGTGTGTGTGTGTATGTGTGTGTGTGTGTGTGTGTGTGTGTGTGTGTGTGTGTGTGTGTGTGTGTGTGTGTGTGTATGTGTGTATGTATGTGTGTGTGTGGTGTGTGTGTGTGTGTGTGTGTGTGTGTATGTGTGTATGTGTGTGTGTGTGATGTGGTGTGTGTGTGTGTGTGTGTGTATGTGTGTGTGTGTGTGTGTGTGTGTGTGTGTGTGTTGTGTGTGTGTGTGTGTGTGTGTGTGTTACTCACCTAAATTGTACTCACCTAAATTGTGGTTGCAGGGGTCGAGACTCAGCTCCTGGCCCCGCCTCTTCACTGATCGCTACTGGATCCTCTCTCTCTCTGCTTCCTGAGCTTTGTCATACCTCTTCTTAAAACTATGTATGGTTCCTGCCTCCACTACTTCACTTGCTAGGCTATTCCACTTGCTGACACCTCTATGACTGAAGAAATACTTCCTAACGTCCCTGTGACTCGTCTGAGTCTTCAGCTTCCAGTTGTGACCCCTTGTCCCTGTGTCCCCTCTCTGGAACATCCTATCTCTGTCCACCTTGTCTATTCCCCGCAGTATCTTGTATGTCGTTATCATGTCTCCCCTGACCCTTCTGTCCTCCAGTGTCGTCAGTCCGATTTCCCTTAACCTTTCCTCGTACGACATTCCCTTGAGCTCTGGGACTAGCGTTGTTGCAAACCTTTGTACTTTCTCTAACTTCTTGACGTGCTTGACCAGGTGTGGGTTCCAGACTGGTGCTGCATAATCCAGTATGGGCCTAACATACACAGTGTACAGTGTCTTGAACGATTCCTTATTAAGGTATCGGAACGCTATTCTCAGGTTTGCCAGGCGCCCGTATGCTGCAGCGGTTATTTGGTTGATGTGTGCCTCCGGTGATGTGCTCGGTGTTATGGTCACCCCAAGGTCTTTCTCCCTGAGTGAGGTCTGTAGTCTTTGTCCACCTAGCCTATACTCTGTCTGCGGTCTTCTTTGCCCCTCCCCAATCTTCATGACTTTGCATTTGGCTGGATTGAATTCGAGAAGCCAGTTACTGGACCACATGTCCAGCCTCTCCAGGTCTCTTTGCAGTCCTGCCTCATCCTCGTCCGATTTAATTCTTCTCATCAACTTCACATCATCTGCGAACAGGGACACTTCAGAGACTATTCCTTCCATCATGTCGTTCACATATATCAAAAATAGCACTGGTCCTAGAACTGACCCCTGTGGGACCCCGCTCGTAACAGGCGTGTGTGTGTGTGTGTGTGTGTGTGTGTGTGTGTGTATGTGTGTGTGTGTGTGTGTGTGTGTGTGTGTGTGTGTGTGTGTGTGTGTGTGTGTGTGTGTGTGTGTGTGTGTGTGTGTGTGTGTATGTATAACGAGCTTGTTTGGTAGCGGGTAGTTAAATGATATACTTCTTCGGAGGCTTCTTTGTTTATTGTTAAGTCGTTGTGGGTTACACAGGCTTGTGTGTTTGTGCCCATGGCCCGGGCAGGGCCATGCCCGAGAGAGAGCTGGGAGGCCTTGTGTCTTGATGCCAGGCCGCTGTGTGAGTGAGAGCGAGGCAAGTCTGGGCATACTGAAGTGGCAAGGCCTATAGATGGCAGCACTTGAGTGGCGCGAAATATGAACTAAGCTGGCAGACAGCATGGACTGTCTGTGCAGACAGTACAGGCTGTCTACATACGCTCGGCCACCTACCGCGCGTCGTCCCGACGCGACAATACTGGTAGTAAAAAAAACTCGGTCTCTCTCTCTCGTAGGAACAGGGCACAGAACACAAAATAAAAACATATATATACATATGGACATGGGAAAAAAAACTTCCTACAGGGAGGGAAGAAAAAACATGTGGGGTGTGCTAAACATCGTGGTCATAGGCAGTGAGCGTCGATGGGCATCACTGCACGCCTTCCTGCGTCTGGACAGATACTGCAACACGGGAGACATCGCTGCGGCTGAGCTGTGACGTAACAGGGTACGGTCTCCTCTGGAATGGTGAAGCAGACATCGTAGGAGTCG